GACCCCTGTGGCCCACCTGGGAGGTCAGCCTGGAGTCCCGGGCTCCTGGATTCAGGCTGGGCCAGCCCCAGCTGCTTCGGCCATTGTGAGTGTATGGAAGGTCTCTCTCTCCTGTCACTCTGCCTTTCCAATGAGTTCACTGAGAGCGAGGAGTTAGTAGGTAAAGTTTTGGGGGGAACCTAGTAAAACCGCGGCAGGTCCCCACCGGCATTTCCCTGTGTGGGTATGGAGTATGCCGGGCGGTCATGAGCAGTGGCCAGCTGCAGGTGGACAGTTACTGCCAAGGCAAGAGAGACCGAGAGAGAAAGGAGCAAGTGAGTGAGAGATCTTCCAGCCCCAAATGTCCACACGCCAGGAGGCAGGACCTGCAGCCGCGCCTCCCACATAGCTGACAAGGACCCAGGGATTGACCTGTCCCCTCCCAGGGGCATGAGCAGGGAGCGGGATCAGAAGTGGAGCATCCGGGACTCAAACCAGTGCCCACATGGGATGCAGGCGTCTCAAGCCATGGCTAACTCACTGTGCCACAGCCCTGGCCCTGGTTGAGTTTTTCGGATGGTGTCTGAAGACTTTGGTTAGCGGGGTGGGGAGAGTGATGGAGTCCCAGGCCACTGCTTTTTCCTTTGATAAATACAGACCAGCCTTGGCAGAGTCGTGTGTGCGTGGGGTGGGAACTTTGAAGGGTTATGGCTCTTATACGCCATAAGGAGTAAAAATATTTGAGTGGGGTGGGGTGGGGAACACAGGTGCTGGTCCTAGTCCCGGGTCCCTGGTCATGCGCACCCCAAGAGGCAGCAGGTGCAGATGGCAGCACCTGGGCTCCTGGCACCCACATCAGAGACTCAGACCCCCGGATGGAGCTCCTGCCATGCCTGTTGTGGGCATCCGGGGTGTGTGTGTGTTGGTTGGTGACTTTCAAGTAGAAATGAAAGTAAATAGAAACTTGGAAAGTATGTATGGGGGATGTGAAATGGTGACATGAGTACCCCAGGATGCAGGAACCGCACAGGTGCCTGGGTCTGGAGCCGGTCCAGGAAGAGTGGTCCAGCCAAGGACCACAGGTCCCCGAGGCTGGAGGGGAGAGAGGAGAGGACTGAGTGAAGGGCCTGGGGCAGAGGGACATGCTGGGGGGTTGTGACCCCGGAGCAGGTGAGGACCAGCAAAGTGGCAGAGGTTCCGGTGAGTCCCTGACTCTGCCCTCCTCTCCCCTCAGAGCTCCCCATCTCAGGAAGGTGTGACCACTCCCCAGCAGCCTTCAGAGACCCCAGAGGCCCTAGGCCCCACGCTGTGCAGGTGAGGCCCCTGCCTGTCCGCTCCCGCCACCCACACGCCCGCCCGTGCCCTCCCCTGCCACCTTCTCTGCCTTCACAGTTCTCTGAGGAAGTCGCCGCTGCGGCTCGAGGACTTCAAGTTCCTGGCGGTGCTGGGCCGGGGTCACTTTGGGAAGGTGAGGCAAGGGGCCAGGCAGGGGGCGGTGGTGTATGTGTGTGTGTATGTAGTTTGGAGCCCCCCCACTTCCTGTCCCTGCAACAGGCCACCCAGTGCCACCCCTGTGGTCACAGGTGCTGCTGTCTGAATTCCGGCCCAGCGGGGAGCTGTTCGCCATCAAGGCCCTGAAGAAAGGGGACATCGTGGCCCGGGACGAGGTGGAGAGGTGGGGACACTCACTCAAGTCTCTCTATTGAAACAGCCATGACCAGGATGGGTGACAGTCCCTGGCTCAGAAAGTACCCCTGTTTCCCAACCTGCCCCCCACTGCCCAGCTCCTGAAGGCACACAGCTGGGACAGGAACCCAGACCCTGAAGCCCCCAGACCCTGGGCAGCCTGCTCTCCATGGCGGGCCTCCACTGCCTCTGTTGGGAGCAGGGCAAGGGCCTGGGTTCAGAGGTGCTGGGGGCAGGGGCCAGAGGTGCTTGGAGAGGCAGGGACTGGGTTCAGAGGTACTGAGGGGAAGCCGGGGGTCACCATCTTCATCAGAGCCACACCTCCTCTGAACCAGAACCGTTCTGGTAGAGGCGTCTGGGCTGGTCACTGCTCTGCACCCCCGCCCCTCCCCCATGCCCATGGGAATGTTGGGAAACTCCTTAGAGACTTCCATGAGTAAAGGCATTTATTAGTCGGGCGAGGAGAAGGCTAGGGAGGGGCTGGCTGTATCCAGGCACTCGGGTGAGGTCTGCTTGGTCCCTGCTCCAGACCTGCAGGCTCACCCACCTGGCCCCCTCACCCCTGGGGTGGGTGACGGGCCCGCGTGCATGAAGCCACGTGCCCAAAGTTGCCCAGGCCTCTGGCGAGTTGTGGATGGGCGTCGTGGGTGTGTGTGTGTGCATGTGTGCGCGTGTGCGTGCAGGGTTCTGACTCCTGTCCCCCTCGTCGCTGCCCGCTCCAGTCTGATGTGTGAGAAGCGGATCCTGGCGGCAGTGACCAGCGCTGGGCACCCGTTCCTGGTGAACCTCTTCGGCTGCTTCCAGACGCCGGAGCACGTGTGCTTCGTGATGGAGTACTCGGCCGGGGGAGACCTGATGTTGCATATCCACAACGACGTGTTCTCGGAACCCCGGGCCGTGTAAGCCGGGCCCCCTCCCCGTCCTTCCCCTTCCTCCTGGGGTTCACGCCAGGGCCCCCTTCCTCTTCCTCATGGCAGCCTCCCTCCACAGCTTCTACTCGGCCTGCGTCGTGCTGGGGCTGCAGTTTTTGCACGAACACAAGATTGTCTACAGGTGAGCCCCCTGCACGGGCCCTCCCGTCCTGCCCCCTGCACCTGGCATGCAGTCACACCCCGCCCCTGTACCCCAGGGACCTGAAACTGGACAATTTACTCCTGGACACCGAGGGCTACGTCAAGATCGCAGACTTTGGCCTTTGCAAGGAAGGTGAGGGGCGTGAAGGGAGCTGGAGGTGGGGGTGCAGGTGGGGTGCAGGTGGGGGTGTGGACGGAGTGATGCCCCCTCGCCGGCCCCCATCGTCTCTCTCATGGCCTCTCTGTCCCCAGGGATGGGTTACGGCGACCGCACCACCACTTTCTGCGGGACCCCCGAGTTCCTGGCGCCCGAGGTGCTGACGGACACGTCCTACACGCGGGCTGTGGACTGGTGGGGGCTGGGCGTGCTGCTCTACGAGATGCTGGTGGGAGAGGTAAGGCCCCGCCCACAGCGGGCGGGACGGGGTGAGGCTCCACCCACCACAGACGGAGAGGGCGTGGTTGGATTAGGCCCCGCCCACAAGCCTGTGCAAGGCAGAGTGAGGCCCCACCCATCAGGGACTGTAAGGGGTGTGGTCTCTTCCCAGGGCTAGTCTCCGCCCACAGGGCTGTGGGGCAAGACGCAGTAAGGCCCCGCCCACTGGAATAGAGGGGTGTGACAGGGCTAGGCTCCACCCCCAAGGCCGTGTTGGGGCGGGGCCTCGCTGGCCTCAGTCTGTGCATATGAGCAATGGGCTCCGTGTAAGCCAGCACCCACCGCTCTGGTGCAGTGGGGGCAGGAAGGGGAGAGGCCAGGCCGGGGATGCCCTCAGCCCGCTCCCCCCGTGCCTCCAGTCCCCGTTCCCTGGAGATGACGAAGAGGAGGTGTTCGACAGCATTGTCAATGACGAGGTCCGCTACCCACGCTTCCTGTCTGCCGAGGCCATTGGCATCATGCGCAGGGTGAGGGCCCCACTGGGCTGCCTGGGTGGGTGAGGGCTGCTCTGGGCTGCCCCGGAGGGTGAGGGTGTCCCTGGGGGCTCCCTGGAGGGTGAGGGTCCCTCTGGGCTGCCCCGGGTGGGTGGGGGTGTCCCTGGGGGCTCCCTGGAGGAAGGACCCTCACTCTGGCTGCCATCCCCAGCTGCTGCGAAGGAACCCCGAGCGCAGGCTGGGGTCCAGTGAGCGGGATGCAGAGGACGTGAAAAAGCAGCCCTTCTTCCGGGTGAGGCCTAGACCCCCCAGACCATGTCAACCCCCACTGCCCTCCTCTGTGCCCAGCCCCTCACTGCCCACCTCCCCTGCCCTGCCCTCCTTTGTGCCCAGCCCTCTCCCCTCCCCAGCCCTCCTCTGGGCCCAGCCCCTCACTGCCCACCTCCCCTGCCCTCCTCTGGGCCCAGCCCCTCACTGCCCACCTCCCCTGCCCTGCCCTCCTCTGGGCCCAGCCCCTCACTGCCCACCTCCCCTGCCCTGCCCTGCCCTTCTCTGCGCCCCAGCCCCTCACCACCCGTCTTCCCCTCCGTCATCCCTGCAGACGCTGGGCTGGGATGCCCTGTTGGCCCGGCGCCTGCCCCCACCCTTCGTGCCCACCCTGGCCGGCCGCACGGACGTCAGCAACTTCGACGAGGAGTTCACGGGAGAGGCGCCCACGCTGAGTCCGCCCCGGGACGCGCGGCCGCTCACCACTGCGGAGCAGGCAGCCTTCCAGGACTTTGACTTCGTGGCTGGGGGCTCCTAGCCAACACCCCCGCCCGTGGCCCTCACCCCGAAAAAGAGAGATCCGTAGTTTTTACAAAAAAAAAAAAAAAAAAAAAAACTGGGTGGCGTTCGCCCCATCTATGCATCCTTCCCGTTCTTTTGTGTGCTCTTTGTGGAGAGGGCCGGGCACCTGCAGCAGGTACAGAGGGCAGGGGGGCCAGGGGGCGTGGGGAGGGGGACGGACTATGGTGGGGGTCACCTGAAGATGATCATGGGAGTGTGGACTTGGGGGGGCTGGGCAAGCTGTGATATGAGAGGGGGCGCTGAGACCATGAGGGTGCAGGCTGGGAGTGGTCTTGGACTGCGCAAGGGGCGCTCAGGGCTGCCATGAGCAGCACGGTTGAAGACTCTCCTGGGGCTGCAGGGCCTGGAGCGCCTGCTCCCCGAAGCCTCGAACCCCCGACCCCTGAGACCTACAGCCCTGGGAACCCGCCCGGCGGACGAGCGTCCGGTGCGTCTGCGCCCTCGCGTGGCAAGGCCTGCTTACTGCGGTCCCGGCTGGACGCCTGGCCCGGGCCTGCTTGGCAGGTGCGCCCGGCTTAGGCCGTGGGCCTCCTGGGCGCGTTCTCAGAAGTGGCTGAGACCGCTGTGCCGAGAACTGCGCAGCGAGCTGATCTCCCAGGCGCTCCGCGCGAGTCCCAGCTCCGTCGGGCTGCCCTTGGCGCCAGCCCTCGGGGGCAGGAGCCGCAGCAGCTGGCGCAGCACGGCCTGACGCAGCAGGATGTACACCCAAGGGTCCAGGATCTGGTTCCAGGAGGCCAAGCGCACAGCCAGAAACAGCGGCCGCTGCAGGGAAGTGGGGCCCCAGCCCCCTACGGCCAGCACCACCAACACCTGCGGAGGGGGTGGAGGAGACGCGGTGTGAGCTCAGCTCGCAGGTGTCACAGGAAGGGACAGGGAGGAGAGCCCCACAGCTGGGGCAGGGCCCGTGGGGATCTCCAAGCGGAGGGAAGGAACCAAGGAGGCGGGTGGAGGGTGTGGGGACTCCACAGCACTGGGAAATGGGAGGCTGGCGAGGAATGAAGCAAGGCCAGGGTAGGTTAAGAAGAAGCCCACCCAGTTAGGAAATGCATTGTGAGTGTGTGGATGGGGGAGCTGGGAGGAGACAGGGGCGTGCTGGCAGGTGCGGCCTCCAGGGTGCAGGTACTAAGCCCTTAGCTAGGTAAGCCGCCCAGGCCCCAGGTATCCTGGGAGTGGGGAAGGCGGTGGCTCGAGGGGCGCCTGTGCCCCTCACCAGCAGCGGACTCCAGCAGATGCACGACACCACCATGATGCCCACCAGCTGGCCCACCATCTCCACGTCGTGCGCTCGGGCTCTTCGCGCTGAGCCGCCGCCCCGGGAGCCGCGGAGGGTGGCGGAGGCGGATGCGATGGATGAAGCAGACGAGGCAGAGGCCGAGCGGGTCCAACGAGTGCCCCAGCGCCGGCGGCTGTCTGGGCCCGAGGCCTGGGAGAGCCTTCGCGAGCGCCGGCGGCGCCAACGGGCGCGCAGCAGGGCCAGGCCGCTGAGCGTGTTACACACCAGGGCGGCGAGCAGTGCGGTCAGGCCGAGGCCGGCGAAGAGGCCGGCCAGCACAGCCTGACGCCAGCCTCCCGGAGGGCCCAGGCCGATGAAGCACCAAGTGCCGGGGTACTGCAGCTCGTAGCGGCCCACGTGCGCCAGCGGCAGCAGCGCCACGGCCAAGGCCAGCGCGGCGAGCGCCGCCAGGGCCAGGCGCGCGCGGGCCACCGAGACGCGCGCCGCGTGCAGCAGCGGACGCGTGACGCCCACGCAGCGTTCCACGGCCATCCCGCAGCCCAGCAGCAGCGGACAGAGTCCGAAGAAGACCATGCAGCCTCCCAGGAAATGGCAGGCGCCGCCGGCCGGCGCTCGGCCCGCCGCGTACAGGCGCAGCACCAGCGCACCCGGAATCACGTGCCCGGCCAGGTCGGTGGCCAGCAAGCTGGCTGCGAAGAGCAGGAAGGTGGCGGCCGAGCGGCGGCGCCGCAGGCGACCCGCAGCCTGCGCCAGCAGCGCCAGCGCCAGCACATTGGACACGGCACCCAGCGTCATGGAGAAGATGGGCAGCGCGGGCGACGCGCCGGAGCCCCCCGACGGCTGAGCCGGCGGCTGCGGCGGCAGGCCTGACGCGTTGGGGACCCCGGGCACCGCGCACGAGGTGGCCTCGCCGGCCAGGCTCAGGTTGAGAGACCCGCAGGGGCTCATGTCGGCTGCCGGGGACGCTGGGAGAGGGAAGAGGACCGCAAGGTGAGGCCTGCTGGACGCGCACCAGCTGTGACCGCCTCCCCCCCGGGCTGCAGGAGCCCAGTGCCTAGTGCAACCACATGACCGTGGCCGCTCCACTTCTGTCCTCTCGACCTTGCGCCTTGCTCTGCCCCCTTCATCACGGTCCCCCTGGCTTTCCAACACGGTTCCCTGAGACCTCCCCAGACCTCCCGGCCGCAGTCGCTGGCTCCTCTGTCACCTCTCATTTTAACTTTCACAGCAATGCCCGGCTCCTTCAGGGCCCGTCCAGTACTCCGAGACCGCATTTCTGCTTTTCTTATCTCCACCTGTCCATCTCCCACCATCACTGCGTCACTCCCCGACGCAAACCCAACCCCACACCCACAGTCTCCTCTCTCTGCCCGTGGCACCTAACGCTGCCCCTACCCACCCCTCTCTTGGCCTCCACTGTTCCTGACTGTCGCCCCATCTCTGGCCCCCTCCTCCACCTTCATGGCCCATCCTGTGCTGTGTCCTGAAACACCTCCTGCGTGGCCCTGCCGCCCACCACATGTCGCAAACCCAGGACACCTCCCCCCCAATTCTGTGACACCCTGGAGGGACTTACAGCTCCCCTGGGCCAGGTGGGAACTAACAGATGGCTTGCGGGGAAGGTCGGCCCGCTTCTCCCCCTCTCCCCTAGGCCCCCTTTCCGCCCCAGGCCTCCTCTTACCCGGCGCTGCCTGGGACACCGGGTCCCCATCGCCCACGGCTCAGCCCTGCCGCGCCCGCTGTGCCCCGGCTCGCCGGCAGGCCGCTCCCTCCCTCCCTCTTCCTGGGGCGGCTCCTCCCGCCGCCCTGTCGGCCTCCAGGGGCCGCTCCGCCCGGCGGCGCGCACGCCCCAAGCGGCGGAGACCACCTCCCCCCTCCCGGCTCCGTGCTCCTGGGCTGGGGGGGCCTCACTGCTCTCCACCAGGGAGAGAGGGCATCCTGGGACAGGGCCTGGGCTGCCCCCTGCAGCCGCGACCCCTCTCTCTCCCCACCCCAGCAGGGCAGGAACAGTCCCCCCCCCCCAGCCCCAAGCTCGGGCCTCCTGCCTGCCTCATTAATAAAGCGGATAAAATCTAAACACTGGAAAATGTGAGCGTCGCCCAACACAGCCCAGGCGGCCGCAGGGGGTGCCGCTGCCCCCCACACCTCGGCTTCCACGGTGGGGCAGCTTTAGGGTTGAGGGAGCCGAGTTGGACGCCCCTACTTCCCCACAGCCTGCCGTGCCCACAGCCCTGCTGGGGAGGGAGGGTGGCTGGCGATGGGCAGAGGGCAGAGCCGGCGGGCAGCGGTGCTTGGGTGAGGGCCAGCGTGGTCAGGGGCCCCGCCCACTATTTACACAGGGGCTTAAGGCCGGGCCAGGGCGGCCAGGGCGGCCAGAGCGGCCAGGGCTGCGAGTCATCCCCTGTAAGGAGAGCAGGGAAGGAGGTTCAAGGGCGCCTGCGGCTGCTCCCCCCACCCCCACCCAGGCGGCTAGGCTCTGTGTCCCCAAGGCTGTGTGTGACACCTAGGCCGGGCGTCCCAAGCTACACCCCTGACCCACAGTGGCTGCCTGGCCTGTGGCCCTGAGTTAGAAACGCGCGCGCGCACACACACACACACACACACAGCATGCGCTCACATCCTGTTGCTGGCTCTGCCAGATGCCACCAAGTACATCCCCAGAGATGCCATCCCACCCCGGGCCCGGAGGTGTGCCCGCTGCCAGCTGGCCGTGACCCTGCCGCAGCTTCCTTCGGCTTCCTCCCATCCCCTGGTATGCAGTCCTGTCCGTGTGGTCCCTGCTCCCCTCCACCAGAGCCTGGATGACCCAGCTGCAGCCGGCTGTGACATCTGCCCCAGCTCTCCACAGTGACACTGTAGGGGCACCTGCTAGCAGGGACAGCTGGCTGCCTTGTAGCCAGGGGTGTCCTGGGCGGTGCCCCAGACAGCTGTCCCTGCCCCCAGCCCAGGCGTGTCTGTCTACATCCAACAGCCTCCTTCCTGCCGGCTTGGGGCGTTTCATCACAGGCTGCTGTGCTGTACCCCACAGCTCCCCTGCCCCCCAATTCCTGCAGGACCCTCTGGCCTGGCTCCCCTCCCCTCAGTCCTCCAGGTCTGGCCAGGGCTCCACACCATGCCCTGCCCCGATCTCCATGCTGCCACCAAGGATGATACAGCTGTGAAAACAAGTCATGCCGTCCTGGGGGACCCTGCACGTGGGGTGCAGCAGAGGGGTGAAGGCCCTTCGCCAAGAACACTGGCTCTGGGGTGCCCCCTGACCCTGGCCAGAGACAGTAGTCTCAGGGCCACCATTGCGAGAGAGAGAAAGACTTGAACCCTTGGCAGAGCGGGAAGCTCCTTCTTTGCCTGGAAGCCTGGTGGCGCCCGGCCAGTGGCAGGCGGGAGGAACCGGGGGAGGGGGCGGCCCCGGGCCAGCTCCTAATTCAATTTGCAGCCGGAGGAGGAAGGATCTCAGCTGGTGCATTCTTTCCCAGCCCTGCCCAGCCCCTCTCCTACCCACCCGACACACACACAGGTCAGATGCGTGGTGAATGGGCACATAACTTTATGTCCCAGACAGCGAATCCAGATACAAAAGCCCACCCCTGCCCACCGCTGCCCACCGCCACCCACGGCCACGGGGGCTGGGCCCCCTCCGAGGGACAGGCAGGCTCAGGCCCACCGCGGGGTGGGTCTATTGCGTTGCCTGGGGAAGGGGGGGTGTTGTTCCTAGTCAGGAAACTGCAGGAGGTCGTGACCTCCCCCAAAACACAGCCCCGGGCCCCAGGGAGCCCAGAGGGGCCCTCTGGCAGCCTAGGGTGGAAAGTGTTTGGGGGTGGGTGGGAACAGGCCGTGAGCCCCACGTGGCCCGTCCCCCGTCCTCTCCTGTGCCTGACCCCTGCCTGCTGAGGTAGGTGGCGGGGCGGGTGGTACCGACTACGGTGGTAGGGGATGTCAGGGCTCGTCCTTTCCTCACCCCACCTCCCCGGGGGACCCCCCTCTCCGCCAGCCAGCCGCTCAGCTTGGCCTAAGCCGGATGCTGGGGTCTGGAGGCCCGGCCCCCCACCACACGTGGCCACCCCCAGGGAGCGTGGGGAGGAGTTCTCGGAACTTCTAGTAGCGGCCAACCTTGGCATCCCCAATGGCACCCCAGACGTCAAAGACGAACTCGTCCGGGAAGGCAAAGTCCCCAAGCCGCTCGTCCAGGGCCTCGGCCAGCTCGTCAGGGTTTCTCTTGTCCTTCCCCAGCTCCACCATGGTGGCCGCTGTGGGGGCAGAACACAGGCCCTGGGGTGAGGGCTGGGATCGAGGGGCCTCCCCCGGCTGCCCCCAGTCCTGGGCATCGCCCACTCACCCAGCTCCGTGTCCCGGATGCCCATGTAGCTCTCCAGCAGGTCATCCACCTTCCCGATGGCTTTCTCCTCGAAGGCCGAAGGCTGGGGTGAAGGTGGACGGAGTTAAAAGTGCACTGGCACACCCCCTCTCCTGGTGATGGGGGCTGCCCCGTCCCGCCCCCCCCCCCAGCTCACAGGTGGGGACAGAGGCCCACTGGCCTGTGCCATCATGCGGGGCTGGGGGACTTACCAGGTCCTCCACCGTGGCGGGACCCCGGGACCGCAGCCTGAGGGTCCCTCGGCCAGTGCCTAACTGGGGGCCGGAGCCGGGGCGGCCACCTGCGGATCGCTGGCCGATCATGTCTGTGGGGGAAGACACAGGCTCGTGGGTGTATGCAGGGGAGCCTTTGGATGGCACACCTCCATCTCCAGCCAGCACCCCCTTCTCTAAACTTCCACAGGCTTCCAGCGGTTGGAGGTTGGACCCCTGTCCCCACAGAAGGGCAGGAACCCGAGTGGGGCTTGGCGTGGATGCAGGGGAGGGCGTGTGGCCAGGGAGCAGGTGTGTGAGGCCGAGGGGTGCAGGGGGAAGGCGGGAGCCTGGCCCTCCTCTCCTCCCTCCTCCCTCGGGGAAAGCGCCTCAGAGTCCTCCTCCCGCGTCACAGGGGCCTCAGGCCCATTCCTGAGTGTCAGTGAAGCAAGACGGGGAAGGCAGGGGGCAGCCACGCCTGGCTTCGTGGGCTGGCGTGGGTTGGGGGCGCTTGGCTGGGCTAATGGCTCTTGGAAGCCGGGGGTGGGGGCAACTTCCTATTGGCGCCTGCCCTTCTCTCAGGCTGGGCCGGGAGCCAGCACCCCGCTCCTGGCAGGAGGCAGGGTGGCGTGGAGGGGCGAGGACGGGTGAGGTGGGGGGCCCTCCGTGGCTGGCTGGGCTTTGGGCACCACCTGCTGGTGGTTCCCAGTCTTACAGCCGGCCAGGTCCGGGGGTTCAGGACCCAGGATTTAGGGTCCCGGGGTGCAGGGCCCCTCAAGGCCGCGGCGTGCATGGTTGCCTCTGCTCACCAAAGGCCTTGCGGGGCTCCGTGAGCTTGAGCGTGAAGGTGCGGCCTCGGGGCAGCTCCTTGAGCAGCCGGGCCACCTCGTAGTGCCGGCAGCCCAGCAGGCTCTGCCCGTTGATGGCCTCGATCATGTCGCCCACGCTGATGAGCTGCATGTGGTCAATCACGCTGCCCTCCTTGATGCGCTGCAAGGGCGGAGGGAGGCGGGGTGGGGGCGTGGTCAGCCCGTGTCCGGCCCCGCCCACCCCGTGCTGAGGGCAGGAGGGGTGTGGCCAGTCATCCGCCGGCCCCGCCCACCCCGTGCTGAGGGCAGGAGGGGTGTGGCCGGCCACCCAACGGCCCCGCCCACCCCGTGCCAAATGAGAACGGGCGTGGCCAGTCATTTCTTGATCCCGCCCACTCTGCTCAGGGAGGGGGAAAGGGGTGTGGTTAGCCAACCACCGGCCCCGCCCACCCCGTGCTGATGGTGGGGCGTGGTCAGTCCGGTCCCCACCCACCCTGCTGATGGTTGGAGGAGGGCGTGGCCAGCCCCGGGCCCCGCCCACCTTGATGAAGGCGTAGCCCGCCCCGTTGTCCGTGATGGTCAGCCCCAGCGCGTCCTCTGACTTGAACACCTCCACCTCCTTGCGCTGCCCCTTGATGTGGGCAAAGATGAAGTCCTCCAGGCCGATCTGGCCCCCGAGGAGCTTGTCCATGTCCACCTTGTGGGTGTTGAGCGTGCAGAACATCACCTGCGGACGGCGGAGGGCCTGAGCACCGCTCTCCTCCGGTCAGGGCGCCCCTGGAACCACCGCCTCCCCTCCCCGGGGCCCAGCATCCCCCCATAGGGGCACAGCGTCCTCCCCGGGACCCAGCATTCCCCACAGGGGCCCAACATCCCCCACAGGGGCACAGCGTCCCCCCCAACCTGGGACCCAACATCCCCCCCCAGGGGCACAGCGTCCTCTGGGCCTAGCATCCTCCACGGGGCTCAACATCCCCCACAGGGGCACAACGTCCCCCCCAACCTGGGACCCAACATCCCCTCCCCAGGGCCCAGCGTCCCCCCCATAGGGGCACAGCGTCCCCCCGGGACCCAGCATCCCACACCCAGGGGCACAGCATCCCCCGGGACCCAGCATCCCACCCCCAGGGGCACAGCGTTCCCTCGGGGCCCAACATCCCCCCCATAGGGGCACAGCGTCCCCTCAGGGCCCAACAGCCCCCACAGGGGCCCAGCATTCCCCCCCACCTGGGACCCAACATTCCCCCCCCCCCAGGGGCCAGCATCCTCCCCGGGGCCCAGCATCCCCACAGGGCCTGGCATCCCCCACAGGGCCCAGCATCCTCCCTGCTGGGGCGCAGTATTCCCCCCCCCCCCAGCATCCTCCACAGGGCCCGGCATCCTCCCCTGTGGGGCCCAGCATTCCCACAGGGCCCGGCATCCCCACCGAGCCCGGCATCCCCACGGGACCCAGCATCATCCCTGCTGGGGCACAGTATCCCCCCCCCCCGCCCCTCCAGCATCCCCACAGGGCCCAGCATCCCCACAGGGCCCAGCATCCCCACAGGGCCCAGCATCCTCCCCAGGGGCCCAGCATCCTCCCCACGGGGCTCAGCATCCCCACGGGGCCCAGCATCCCCACGGGGCCCAGCATCCTCCATGGCCGGCATACCTCAGCGGCCGGCAGGCGGAAGGCCTCTGCGATCTTGCCGTACAGCTCCTTGACGTTGGTGAAGCCCTCGATGCGGCCGGTGGGGCTGCCGTGGGCCAGCTGGGTGTGGAACACGAGGCGGGGCCGCAGGGCGGCGGGCGGCGGGGGCAGGCCCGGGTGGGGTCCCCCGGCCCCCAGGCCGCCCAGGGACCCCGGCTCCGCACCCAACCCGCCGCGGCCCGGCTCGGCCTCCTCATTCTCCACCAGAGGCGGGGCCTTCTTCCGCCGCCCCAGTCCCAGCGGCATGAGCGGCAGGAAGCGGGGTCGGCCGTGGAGATCTGCGGGGAGGGAAGGGGGTTCAGAGCCGGAGCTGATCCGAAGCAAGGAACCAGGAGCTTCTTCTGGGTCTCCCACGCGGGTGCAGGGTCCCAAGGCTTTGGGCCGTCCTCCACTGCTTTCCCAGGCCACAGGCAGGGAGCTGGATGGGAAGTGGGGCAGCTGGGACTCATCCTGCGTGCACCCAGGTGGGATATGTGCATCCCAAGCAGCAGGCTCACCTGCTGCACGCTGTGAGGATGGGGGTGCCCTGTGAGTCCCTGCTGGACTTGGTGCTGTCCAGAGGGGGGCCTCACGAAGCGTGCCAGCCGACATGCTAAGACAATAAAGCAAACCAGTTCTGCAGGGCCCTGCCAGAGGGGGTGGGGGCGCTCTCTGAGCAACTGAAGGTGAACTTGAGCTGGGACGGAAAGCAGGAAGTGACCAGCAAGGATCTGGGGGCAAGGACGTTCTGCCTCAGGGAGCAGCAGGTCCCCAGCCCCGGAGGTGGCGACTCAGTGGGCAGGTCCCTGTGGTTGGAACGCAGCGAGTGGGGGTGGAGGTGTGGCAGGTAAAGGGAAGTGCGAGGGCGCAGGGGTCTCTCACATAGACGCAGGGTCCCAAGGCTTTGGACCCTGCACCTACGTGGGAGACCCGGAAGAAGCTCCTGGCTCCTGGCTTCAGATGGGCTCAGCTCTGGCCGTTGTAGCCATTTGGGGAGTGAACCAGTGGATGGAGCATCTTTCTGTCTCCTTTTCTCTGTAAATTTGACTTTCCAATAAAATACAAATAAATCTTAAAACACATATGCACAGATACATTAATTTAAAAAGAAATAAAAGGAAAGGGAATCCATGGAGGGGTGGGCATGCCATCTCAGCACGCAGAGTGGGGAGGGCAGCACAGGTGAGGTCAGGGCACCTGGGTCTTAGTGCCCGCTCACTGGGACGCAGCGCCCCGCTGCTGTGCACCCGGGAGCCAGCAGGTGATGGCTGTGGCCTCAACGTCACCCGTGGCGAAACCCCCGACAGAACTTCAGGCTTCGAAGCTGGACCAGGCCTGGCCACGCACGATCGCGGCCGTCGGCCGTGTGAGCCAGCGGGTGGAAATGTCTCTTCCTCTATGTAACTGTGCCTTTCAAATGAATCAACTTTACATAGAGTTCACTCAGAGATGGGGAACTCTGTATAGATACTGCTTTGATTTTCTATATAATATTTATATCTTTAACTATATATATTATGCATATAAGTGTATATGTAAAGATTAATTTTATTGCAAAGGCAAATCTAGAGAGAGGAGGAGAGACAGAGAGGAAGATCTTCCGTCCGATGATTCACTCCCCAAGTGGCCGCAATGGCCAGAGCTGAGCCGATCTGAAGCCAGGAGCCTCTTCAGGGTCTCCCATGTAGGTGCAGGATGCCAAGACTTTGGGCCGTCCTCCACTGCTTTCCCAGGCCACAGGCAGGGAGCTGGATGGGAAGTGGAGCAGCGAGGATTAGAACCGGCGCCCATATGGGATTCCAGCGCATTCATGGTGAGAACTTTAGGCACTAGGCTACCGTGCTGGGCCCTATTTTTCTATATTGTATGTAAAAGGCAGACTAACAGAGAGAGAGAGTTTCCCAAACACTGCAGCATCCAGGGCTGGTGAAGCCAGAGCCAGGAGCCCAGAGCTCCACCTGCGACTCCCATCCTGTGGCTGGCAGGGACCCAAGCGCTTGGGCCACCACCTGCTGCCTCCCAGGGGTGCATGTGAACAAAGAGCTAGGACAGGAGACGGCGTGAGCACTCTGACACAGGCATTCTGAGACGGCAGCTGGGTGTCTGGCTCGCTGCAACCAGCACCCACTGGGCACTGTGCAAGGTAGCTGGGCCACTGCCCACCCAGCTTCATAGAGGCCACGTACATGCCTTGGTGAGCCAAGCCGAGTTCACAAGCAGGCAGAGGCTGTGTCCTGAAGGCTGCTCCCACAGTGACACACAGGTCACCCATCGGTCTCCCTGACACCCCTTCCCTCCCCATCCTGGCTCCCCTAGACCAGTGCAGTTACTTCTTTGGGGGTCTCCTGGCTTCCACGTCAACCCACAGTCTCTTATCAGGACAGTAGTCAAAGTGGTCCCGTGACACACAGGCAAGTCACAGCTGACCTGCCAAGGTCCCCACCTGTCCCCTCCCCACAGCTGACGCCTTGGACAGCCTGTCCAGTCTCGGGGCCTTGGCACAGGCTGTTCCCCGTGACTTCCTGTGGCACCTCTCCCTGGTCGATGGTGCCCTAAGCAGGGACATGGCTTTGTCAGCCCTAAAGCCTGAAGACACACACAGAATGGTGCCTGGTGGGCCCAGGGTGAGGTGTGAACACTAAATCCTTGCTTTGCCCATGCTGGGATCCCCCATGGGCACTAGTTCGAGTCCCGGCTGCCCCACTTCCCAGCCAGCTCCCTGCCTGTGGCCTGGGAAAGCAGTGGAGGACGGCCCAAAGCCTTGGGACCCTGCACCTGCGTGGGAGACCTGGAAGAAGCTCCTGGCTTCGGACCGGCTCAGCTCTGGCCATTGCGGCCACTTGGGGAGTGAATCGTTGGACAGAAGATCTTCCTCTCTGTCTCTCCTCCTCTCTGTGTATCTGACTTTCCATCCAATTAAAAAAAAATGCAAAGCATGGTCTTTTTTTTATTGATGTGCAAGAACTCTTTCCATATTATGGATACAAGCCCCTCACTGGTTCTTCCATCTTTCTGCTGAGCAGCCACCAGAATCCAGCATGCAGCTGCCGTTCACTGGTTTCTTGACAAAACACGCATTCTGAAGAATAAAGCAGTCCGTACCCTCAGGTGGTTGCATCACACCGAACAATGCTCAAAAACAAACAAGAATAATCTAAGCCTCCTCTCCTTCCCTCGGGATCCACGGGCAGGCAGATGCTGTGTGACCACGGGCGAGTGTCCGAACCCCTCTGAGCTCCCAGCACAGGGCCCAGGTTCTGCCAGTGTCAGATTCCACAGAGAGGAAAATAGAAAGATCTTGCATCCGCTGCTTCACCCCCTAAGTGAGTGCAATGGCCGGAGCTGAACCCATGTGAAGCCAGGAGCCAGGAGCTTCCTCTGGGTCTCCCACGTGCAGGGTGCAGAGTCTTAAGCATTTAAGCCATCTGCTACCTTCCCAAGCCATAAGCAGGTAGCTGGAGCAACCAGGACACGAACCGGCGCCCATATGGAATGCCGGTGCTGCAGGTAGAGGCTTAGCCTGTCATGCCACCAAGCCAGGCCCAATGTTGGTGATTTTTACTGCCACCCGCACTAGTTCTCAGTCACGCCCCAAGACTCTAGGGCCCATTTTTTCCCAGGACGCCCCGCATCCCAAGTACAGGCTCCTGTCCTTTCTCTGTCCACACCCACCGGCCAGCTTCTCGTGGAAGAGGTGGGTGGGGAGACCGTCCCCTGTGCACATTCATTCATTGCCTTCCAGGTGTGGCTTCACACCCCCACCCCTGCCCCCACTTACCAGCTATGTGGGGGTGGTGGCACTGGCAGCGGGCAGGTCACTTCCTGGCGTAGGGCTTCTGGGTGCCCATCTGAGAAATGGGCAAGATTCCTGTCTGGGACAGGGAGAAGGGATTTATGGGACCCCAAAGAGATGACCTAAGAGAGCTGTCTCAGGCTCCGGCTGCTACCAGTTGGCCTGGCTGCTTTGGTTCATCCCCAAGGCAGGTCAGATGCCTCCTCCAGGCAGCCTCCTGGGCTGGCCCGCAGCTTGCTGGGGCCATGCCCTCCACTCCCATCCCCCTGCAGGCTGAGAACTGAAAGACAAGGTGCGCTGGACAAGTCTTGTCCTACAGCCCCGAGGCTGTTGGTGAACTCCGAGTCTCTTTAAACACACACGCACGTCAAGTAGACTACATCAGCTACGACTCCCTCAGAGGTGAAGAGGCTCCAGGCTTGTTCCAGGGACGCAGAGACCAAGCTGGGTCCCACCTCGCGCCCTGGCACTTGCCTGTCTCCCGATCTTTCTCAGGCTGGTGGCTTGTTTTCCACCCAGGCCTCTGCACCAACAATACCTCGTGCCTCCCCAGCTCTACATCCCCAGATCTGTCCCTGGCCGCCGTCACTGTCCCGCAGCTCCTTACGCTCCACTTCACGGCACTCGGGGCTTAGTTGCCTGTACTGTCCCAACCATCCCAGTGTAAAAATCTCCCTCTAAAACAGGGATTAAAAAATATATATATATTTATTTTTATTGGAAAGGCAGATCTACAGAGAGGAGGAGAGACAGAGAGGAAGATCTTCCATCCACTGGTTTACTTCCTAAGTGGCCAAAACAGCTGGAGTTGAGCTGAGCCAGGAGCCCAAAGCCTCTTCTAGGTGTCCCACACAGGTGCAGGGTCCCAAGGCTTTGGGCCGTCCTCCACTGCTTTCCCAGGCCACAGGCAGGAAGCTGGCTGGGAAGCGGAACTGCCAGGACATGTAGTAGAGCCTATATGAGATCCTGGCACATGCAAGGGAAGGATTTAGCCACTAGGCTACCGCACCAGGCCCAAAAATCAAGTTTTTTTGGTCTTAGCCTCCATGGCAAGGTGGGGCCTAGCATGCCATAGGTCTTCAGCCAAGCTTTGTACGGGATGGGCCTTATGGAGCAATGGGTCAACTCTCCTATTAGAGTCCCCTACTTTGAGTCCCAGCTGCTCCACTTCCCACTCTGCTCCCTGCCTGGGAAAGCAGCAGAGGATGGCTCAAGTGCTTGGGCCCCTACCCCTACATGGGAGACCCGGAAGAGGCTCCTGGCTCCTGGCTGTGGCCATGCAAGAACGAACCAGTGGATGGAAGTGCACTTTCTGTCTCTCTCTCACTCAGCGCTCCCCGCAGAGGGAAATAAACATCCACCAAGAATGAAGCGAGAATGAATGGATGCACCCCAGCTCTTCCCCAGCCTGCTCCCGGCCCGCCAGCACGCCCACCGGCAGCTGCTGCCTCTCCATTTTTTGCTTCCTCCAGAACAAAAAACTCCCTGGCTCCTTGACTGCCAATGACCCTGACATCGGCCGTGCCCAAGCCGCGGCCACACCAAGGCGGCAGGGAGGGGTACAGGAAGCAGGGCAAGGCCGGTGGGCAGGAAGAGGGGGTGTCCTAGGAGTGGAGGGAGGGACGGAGGGAGGGAACAAGGGCTATGGCCAGAAGGAAGGAGGGAGGTGTGTGATTCACTCCAGAAAAACCGGCTCCTGCGTGGTTCCTGGGACAGCGTCCACTGGCCAGGGTGGGGTGAGGACGGCAGGCCCGGTACAGCCTCCTGGTGCCCTGCCTGTGTCCCCTCCACATGCCACCCCCTTCTCAGGGCACCCTTTCCGCCTGCCGGCATTCAGGCTTGGGGTTCCTGGGGCAAGAGGAACAGAGGGGTGGCTCTCTGTTTGAGCAGCTGTTGCCAGGAGAGTCTGTGTGTGTGTGTGTAGGGGGTAGGGAATGCCCAGCAGGTACGGCCCAGGTGGTGAATCTGGGGGGACAGAAGGGGGTGGGTGTGGCCGCCGGGATGGGCAAGGAGGCCCAGGTGTCAACACACACACCACGTACTGGGGGAGACTCAAGTTTGGGCTTGCAGTCCTGGGTCTGTCACCTCCCATCTGTGTGACCTTGGGCCAGTGGGTCAGCCCGTGGGCCAGCATACCACACACACACACACACACTTTTGATTCACTGATCAGCAGGGTTAAGGCATGCCACGGAAGCACTGCCTGCAGAAAAAGCTCCTATTTAAGATTGTTTTGAGGATTCTATCCACTTCCTGGTCCTCCAGGCAGCCCCCCCACCCCCACCCTCACCACCCCTACAGCTCCAACCTTCTAAATTCAGGATGGAGGGTCAGTTACGGGTCGGGGATGGGAGCCAGTCCCGGGCGGTGGTCCCAAATCCTAGACCTCCTCCCACCCCCGTAAGCAAGGGGCTGTCCAGGAAGCGGGTGGGAGGCCAGCGACGCCCCAGCCCCGGGGCAGGGGGACCGGGGTCGGGCATCGCCAGTAGCCGCGTCCAGCAAGCAGCCCGCCTGCCCCCGGGCGCGATGCGGGCCGATCCCCGCGACCCCGCGCCGGGGGCGCCCGCTCCTCGCCCCGCCGGGCTCCCGACCACCGCCGGGGGCCGCTCTGCCGTCCACCCGCCCGTCCAGCGCCCGTCCACACTCACCTGGGCCGCGCGCCCGGCTCGCCCAACTCCGGCTCGGGGCCTCTCCCCGCAGCCGCGGCCGAGGGGGCGGGGCCGGCGCCGCGCTTCAGCTAATCAGCGACGGCCTGCCGCTCGGCGCAGCCAATCATCGCCGCCCCGCCCTGGCCGGCGCCGACCGCCACATTCCACAGGGATCCCATCCGACACTGCTTCCCCCCAGCACCGGGTTCGATGGACCGTTCCATCCCGACTCAATCACGGCGAGCTGTACCACCGTAATGCCGAGGTAGGGGGAATCGCGTCTTGGGGCTGCAGCCAATCATGAGAGAGCAAGCAGGCGGGTGGCCAATGGGAGGCTGGGACGCCTGGCCCACGTGCTGTGTGTGGGTGAGGGGCAGGGTCCGCCATGGGATGCCCGGAGTTGGGGAGTCAGGTGACAGGCCCGAGTTTCGGGGTGGGGGTGGGGGGACGCACAGGGTGCCAGCTCCCCAGCTTCTAGAAAAGCGACTGCTTCCCGAGATCGGAGTGGTGGTGGTGTGGGGTGGTGGTTGGGGTGGTTGGGGTGGTGTGGGGTGGTGGTTGGGGTGGTTGGGGTGGTGTGGGGTGGTGGTTGGTGCTGGTTGGGGTGGCGGGCCCAGGGCACCCCCCAGCCTGCTCATCTTGGGATTGAAATGAAAAGATGCATTCATTGCCAGGCTGCCAAGGCTGCAGGGGTCCCGAGACGACTGGGCAGGGTCCTGATTGTCCCTGCTTCCCCGGGGAGTGGACAATGCACAAAGGCACTCATTCACTCCCTCATTCATTCACTCACTCAGCAAATATTGGATGTGCCTCTTCCCCCGCTGGCCCCCAAGGTTGGTACCAGCCTGAGTCCTGCCTCTCCAGACACAACCACAGCCGGCCTGGAAGAGGGTGCGACGTGTGCAGGGCGCAGGCAGCTGTAGCATGGGGCCCTCTCCCAGGGAGAAGCCCCAAGTACTGGGATGGTGATGTGTGGCCTTCTCAGTACTCCTGGATTCCCCTACACAACAAAGGGGTACCCAGCCAATTCAGGACACTGAACATGCATTGGTCTGTCCTGCATGCTTTTTCAAAAGTAAACATTTATTTAGGAGAGCAGAGTTACAGAGAGAGAGAGAGAGATAAAGGGGTCTTCCATCTACTGCAATGCCTGGAGCTGAGCCCATCTGAAGCCAGGAGCCAGGAGCTTCTTCCAGCTCTCCCACAGGAGTGCCGGGAGTACAAGGAACAAACACTTGGACCATCTTCTGCTGCTTTCCCGGCACATGAACGGCGGAAGCCGGGTGGGAAGTGGAGCAGCCGGGAATAGAACTGGCACCCCTATGGGATGCCAGCACCACAGGCAGCCCTCTTCCATCCTCTTTCCAAAAATTGACTTTATTGTGAGCCAGCATGATGTTCAACTGGCTAAACCTCCACCTGCAAGCGCTGGCATCCCTTAGGGGCACCAGTTTGTGTTCTGGCTGCCCCACTTCCGAATGGGCTCCCTGCTTGTGACCTGGGAAAGCAGCGGAGGACGACCCAAAGCCTTGGGACCCTGCACCCGTGTGGGAGACCCTCCTGCTTGGGCTGTATGGGGTGAAAGCGGGTGAAAACCATGTCTCTGAGGTCAGGCTTACACCCACTCCCACCTCTCCAGCCCGGGCTGGCACCATTGCATTTCACCCGCAAACCTGCAGGTGCAGGTACAGTGAAGAGCTGCTGGCCCCACCAACCGGTTGGGCTTAGAACTAGGGTTTTGTGGGTGGAGACAGCAGGCACAAACGCACCTTAAATGGAGCCCACAGGGACACTCTGTTCCCAGGACAAGTTCTAGTTCAAGGTTGGCCCTTGGCACCCCTGGGGGTGGCGGGGCCGGGAGGAGGGAGCTGGCCTGGAGCTCTGGGCATTCTTGGAGGGGTCTCCGCCCTGCCTAGGGCTCAGCTGCTCCTTGCAGTCCCCCAGGGCAGGGAGCAGCTTCCCGGGTCAAGGGAAAGGGAGTGAAGATGGGGTCTTGAACTTGGCTGCTGTGGACTCCCTGGCTGGCTGGCCCCACCCAGCTGGCAAACACTGATACCGCGGTGTCTGGGGTGACCAGCCCTGCTATTGTCCCCTCTCTCTCTTTCTTCCTGTTCTGTCAGCAGCGAGCGCGGCTGGGCGATATCGGTTGCCTGGGTGGCAGTAGCAGCAGCAGGACCAGAAAGATCTGTGCGGCTGTGGCCTCCTGCTTCGTTGGGGGCTGGGTCCAGCAAGGAGGACTGTCCCCCTGAATGTACTGACTGGGGTTTGGGGCAGCCTGTGGGGGCCCCCTGGAGCGAGGTGGGAGCAAAACGTGACCCAGGCCATAGGGGCCTGAGCTAAAATCCACATGCCTGCTATGGCCTGAAAAGGATCCACATGCACATTGGCCAACACACTGACCTCCCCACCCTGTGCTTTCAAAATAAGCATTCATCTATTTATTTTAAAGACTTGTTTATTTTGATTGGAAAGGCAGATTTACAAAGAGAAGGAGAAATAGAAAGATCTTCATCCACTGCTTCACTCCCCAAGTGGCCACAACAGCCAGAGCTGAGCTGATCCAAAGCATAGGATCCCAGGACACACCAAGGCGACTGCGGCATCTCGGAGCTTTTCCCACAGCCTGCTGGGACCCGACCTGGTCCTGCCTGACTTGCTCCCCGCCTGGCCCCAGCACGTCCCTTTCAGGGACTGTTCTTCCTACAGCCACTAGAGGGTGGATGTGAACACCAGCGCTGGGCACCCGTCCCTCCTCCCCAGGGTCCCCCTTCCCACTAAGGGGTCACCTGCGCTGCAGGTCCCTAAGCCGCTGAGGGATTGAATCTGTCTTTCTGGAGGTCCCCAAATAAAGCCGAGCGCCTCATTTCCCAGGAAATCAGGCACAGGTGCCAGCTTGGGTTTCCAGGCCAAGCCACACCTCCATGGTTCTGGGTCCATTCCGACTCAGGCTTGGCCCAGGAGCCTCAGGCACTCAGGGCCTGGCCTGGTAAGGCCCTGACAGTAGACCTGCCTCACCTCTGGAAACATCTAGAAGGCTGCACCCTGCACCCTCTGTTCCAGCCATACCAGGCTCTGCTGGGAAGCAGGAGGCTCCTTGCCATCTCCAATCAGCCTCATTAGGCCCTCACCCCTTTGCCAGCCTGGGGTGGGGTGAGGAGGGGCTGGCCAGGCTTGCAGCAGACAAGCTCCCGCCTTGGACCCCACGTGGCTGGTACCTGCCCAGGCCTCCTCCCTCCCAGCGCTCTGCCTGTCAGACAGCTCCTGGGCTGGGGTAGTGGGGCTGGGCTGGTCCCGCCTGGAGACCTTCGGCATGGCGGCATCTGTGAGGCTGGCCTCGTTGGGCATCGGGAAGCCTGGGGGACGTGAGTAAGGATCGCAGGATGAGCTCATCCTGGGTTAGGGTGAGCCAGGCTGTGTGCTGAGCGGCTCACGACGCGGAGAGGGAAGGACCCCATGACCTTGTCATGAGGCACGGGCCAGCCCAGACGTGTGGGAGCCGCCTCCCGGAGCCTGTGAATCCTACAACGTCCAGATGTACCTGGACTTCGGGGCACAGGAGCAGCAGCTGGCTGGGACGGGCGCTGTGATGCCAAGGGCCAACCCGCCACCTGTGTCAGCGGCAGCCCAGATCGGAGCACCAGCTCCTCCCAGGGCACCTGGGAAGGCCGTGCGTGGAGGAGGAGGCTCCTGGCTTCAGTCGGGGCCAGTACTGCCTGTTGCTAGCATTTGGTAAATCAGCAGATGGAAGAACTCTCCCTCTCTCTGCACCTCCCCTGACAGGAAGCAGCCTAGAGAGGGTCCGTCGGTTCACTTGATCACATGACCGCTCATTCCAGCGGTGCCCCGCCCCCACCCCTCCCTGCTTCTACGTGGGGATTCAGCACAGCGCAAGAGCACTAAGGCTTTCTCTAGGTGTCCTGGTGCATGCAAGGTGAGGATTTAGCCACTAGGCTCTTGCACCGGACTCAAACAAATAAAAAAACTTAAAAAATAATTTGTACCCAGTACCCTTTGGTTATCCACTCCTCTCGCTCCCGACTGGCATTCACCCTCGAGTCTAGGATCAAGGGCAGTCTGACCAGCCTGATCCTCTGCCATTTCCCCAGCTGGCCCACAACTGGTGCTTAGCACTTGCTTGTTGACTTAAGTGATGACTCCATTGGCTCCTCTTCCACCTGCAAGTGCCTGCATCCCTTGAAGGTGCCGGTATGAGTTCTGGGTACTCACTTCCCATCCGACTGGGAGAGCACTGGGGGTGACTCAAGTCCGTGGGCTCCTGTTCCCGTGTGGGAGCCCTGGACGCAGCTCCTGGCTTCAGATCGGCGGGGCTCTGGCTGTTGTGACTGTCTCGGGAGTGAACAAGTGGATAGAAGATATTTCTCTCTCTTCCTCTCGCTGTGAATTTTCCAAACAAAAATTTTAAAAAGGTATCTGGGTCCAGTGTGGTAGCCTAGCGAAGTCCTTGCCTTGCATTCACCAGTATCTCATATGAGCACTGGTTCTAATCCCGGCTGCTCCACTTCCCACCCAGCTCCCTGCCTGTGGCGTGGGAAAGCAGTTGAGGACGGCCCAAAGCCTTGGGACCCTGCACCCGCGTGGGAGACCCGGAAGAGGCTCCTGGCTTCTGGCTCCTGATTAGCTCAGCTCCAGCTGTTTGGGTCACTTGGGGAGTGAACCAGCACATTGAAGAATTGAAGATCTCCCTCTCTGTCTCTCCTCTCTCTATAGCTGACTTTCCAACTGTTTTTTTTAAAAGGTGCCTGTACCTGTTCAGTAAGGATGTATCTTCGCTCCTGCTTTGGCCTGGCCAAGCCGGGCTGTGTGGGGAGGGACCAGCAGAGCAAAGATGTGCCTTTCAGATAAGTGTGAAAGCACAGGAAACATTTAAACTAGAGACCTAGAGCCCTCGGGGACCCTAAGCCGCGTCCCTAACTGCCGCTGGCCACTTTGTTTCCAGCTGAGTCTGTACAAAGTAGCAAGTCATCCTTTGAGGGCTTCGTAATTACTCACCCCAAAGTAAAACCAGTTCCTTAAACACAAAGTTACAACTGAAGCCAGGGCAGGAAGTGGGTCCTTCCCAGGGCGGGCCCTGGCTGTATTTAGTTCTGGCATATGGCGGTGTGTTTTACAGCAAACCACCAGCCCTGCCCTTGCCACTCTGGCCCGACTTCACCAAAACCCCCAAACCAGCAGCACCCCCAGGGTTGGCCCAGCGGCTTCAGACCCAAGGCTTATCTTGCCCTGGCAGGGGCAGCCCATCCCCATCCGGGCACCCGCCCTCCTGCCCTGGCTGGCCTTGGCAGCAGGCCCGGCCCCACCTCCCCCATCCCACCCAGAGCCCCAAACAGAGTCGCAGGCCGCTGCCCTGAGGGTTAGCAGTCTTTAATGCCATCATCGCTGCGCATGGACAAGTCACACACTTTGGTCTCGCAGGTTGGCAGCTGGCGAACTGAACAACGAGTCTACAGGTCTCAGCACCAGGCTGGCCCCCGAGGCCTCCCTGCCCCCTGCGTGCACAGATGGGGCGGCTCCCGGGGGCTGGGCCCGTGGGGTGCACACCGACTTTACATGTATTTACACACGTTCCACAGTGCTCCTACAATCAGAAGCAAAGGCCCTTTTATCAAAAGGAATTATTTATATACATAAATATTTACCTAGGGCTGTGCAAAATTCAAAAGGATCAAATCCCTTTGAACACAAAAACAAAACCCCAAAAAACAAATAGTCCAGTCTGTTCAACAAAAACGGGGTTCAGGGGCCCCGGGAAAGATGGCCCCATGGAGGAGTGCTGGCCAGGGCCGGGCCGGTGGCAGAGTGCCCAGCTGTGGCTGCTGCCAGTTTGGTCCCGCTGAACGAGGTATTGCTTGTGGGCGCGGCCCGGCAGTTCTGCAGGTGTCTGCGCGCGGCTCCGGGGCAGGCAGGTTCCTCAGTGTGGAGTGCGGGGCCGGGGGGTGGGATGCAAGGAGCGGGAGTTGAGAAGGGGCCAAATCGCGAGCGCCACTGTCACAGACCCTGGGGACCCCGAGGAGGGGGCAAGTCCAGCTGCCTCGGGGCCCTCCGGGCTGGAGCAGGGAGCAGGACCCCGAGGGGCAGGCGGGTGAGCCGCCCTACCGCTGGAAAAACCACTTTAGGCCGGCGCAGACTTTGAAAGATTGTAATATATTCTCTGGACAACACTGAGCAGTGCGAGCGCTCCCGAGCGAGCCCTCCCGCCCGTCCCGGCCGCGAGAGCGAGGGCCAGAGCGGGGAGCGGTCCCAGAGGCCGGGGCGGTTATACGGGCAGCACCTGCTCCAGCACGCTTCTCGACGTCTGCGGGATCCTTTCCGGGAAGATCACCTCAAACTCGATGATCAGGTCCCCCCGCTTCTCGGGGGTCTTGGGGAGGGGCAGGCCTTCGCCTGGGACTTTCCGCCGCATCCCGGGCCTGATAACGTCTTTGAACACCACGGGGATGCTCCTACCGTCCAGAGTGGGGACGTTCACCGTGCAGCCACACAGCGCCTGGGGGAGAAGGGGTGCGGTGAGACGGGGCTCCAGCGGGGTGGGTGAGGGCCCCACCGCCCCGCTCCCAGCCCGCGCCCCGCCCTACCTCCCGCAGGCTGATCCTGGCGGGGTAAATGACGTCGGAGCCGTCCCTCTTGAAGATGTTGTGGGGCTTGTCCCTGAGCACGAACACGATGTCGGCGGGGATGTTGCTGCAGGTCTGGTCGCCCTCCTTGGGGAAGGTGATCTTGGTGCCCTCCTTCCAGCCCTTCTTCACCTCGATGGTCAGGATCTTGTCCTCACTGCGCGTGCTCCTGCCGTCCGGGTTCAGCCGCTTGTGCGAGATCTTCATCTTCTTGGTGCAGCCGCTGTAGATCTCTTCCAGGGAGACCCGCAGGTCGTGGGTCACGGGCGGGTCCTGCTTCTTGCGCACGGGCTCCTGGGCCGGGCGGGAGCGGCCGAAGCTGGGGAAGCCGCCCATGGAGAGGCCGGGGAAGGTGTCGTCAACGTCCATGCCTTCCTCCCCGTTGCGCTGGCTGAAGAAGGTGTCGAAGGGGTTCCGGCCGCCGAAGAACTCGGCGAATATGGCGTGAGGGTCTCCATGGAATGTGTAGCTGAAAGAGGTCCCGTTGGCCCCGCCGCCCGCGCTGCTGGAGCCTCCGCCCTTGAGGCCTGGAAAGCGAAAGGGCACATGGAGTGCTGAGCCGCCTGGCCAGGAGCCCCTCCCTGTGGCCCGGGAACCAGGGCTGTGGCGGGCTCAGGGCCCCAGGCCAAGCTTCCACCGCTGCAGCAGCACGGCAGACCCCAGAGACACAGGCAGGACAGGGCCGAGCGCTGGAGCTCTGTGGACGGCGGCAGGTGCAACCAGACCGTCCTCCCGCCAGTCCCCACCACTCCTCCACGGACCGTCCTCCCATCAGGCCCCACCACTCCTCCATGGACCGTCCTCCCATCAGGCTCCACCACTCCTCCACGGACCGTCCCCCCACCAGGCTCCACCACTCCTCCACGGATGGTCCTCCCACCAGGCCCTACCACTCCTCCATGGACCGTCCTCCCATCAGGCTCCACCACTCCTCCACTCCACGGATGGTCCTCCCACCAGGCCCCACCACTCCTCCACGGACCGTCCTCCCACCAGGCCCCACCACTCCTCCACGGACCGTCCCCCCACCAGGCTCCACCACTCCTCCACTCCACGGATGGTCCTCCCACCAGGCCCCACCACTCCTCCACGGACGGTCCTCCCACCAGGCCCTACCACTCCTCCACGGACTGTCCTCCCACCAGGCCCCGCCACTTCCACGGACGGTCCTCCCACCAGGCCCCGCCGCTCATCCACTGAGCGATTGCCCCAGAGGCCTGTCGGGTCTCCCAGCACTGTGTCGGGGCAGCAGATAGAGGGAAAGGCCAGCACCCACAGCCCACTGAGGTCCTGGCAGCAGGAGCCCAGCCCTTTCCCAGCATTGAGGCGTAAGAGCCAGTGAGTCACGGACAGGGGCGGTCCCCCACCTGCCCCACACCCAGAGGCAGGCCCTAGGGAGGGACCGACGGGAAGCCGGGGCTCCTCCTCCACGGGGGGGGGGGACCCCACCCCCAGGCTGCCCAGGCCAGGGCGGAGGCCCTCCCCACCCCCGCTGCACCCTGACACTCCTACACCCTACATCCTGACAACTCGACACCCCGCTGCACCCGGCTTCCTGCAGTCTTGACACCACTCCCCCACACCTGAGCACCCTTGCACCCTAAAACCTGGACACCCCTGCATCCTGACACCCCCATATCTCCACACTCCACACCCAGACATCCCCCACACCCTAAAACCTGGACACCCCTGCAGACACCCCCATATCTCCACACCCGACACCGCCACACCCAGGCACTCTCGCACCCTGACACACCCCGCAGCCGAGCACCCCTGCACCCGGACATCCCCCTGCACCCTAACACCCGGGCACCCCGACACCTCCCGCACCCCGACACCTCCCGCACCCCGACACCCGGGCACCCCGACACCTCCCGCATCCCGACACCCGGGCCCACGGCGCCCCGCGCACGCACCCTCCTCCCCGAGCCGGTCGAAGATCTCGCGCTTGCGCGGGTCGCTGAGCACGTCGTAGGCCTCGGCGATCTCCTTGAAGCGCTCCTCGGCGCCCGGCTCCTTGTTCTTGTCCGGGTGGTAGCGCAGCGCCTGGCGGCGGTAGGCGCGCTTCACCTCCTCGTCCGACGCGCCGCGGGACAGGCCCAGCGTCTGGTAGTAATCCTTGCCCATGGCGCCCGCCCTGCCGGCTCCGCCGCCGCCACCCGGCCCGACTCTATATACCCGCCCGGCGGAAGCTTCCAGAGCCCGCCAGCCCCGTCCAGAACCTTCCGCCCCAGCCGCCCCCTCGCGCCCAGCCGCCCAATCGCCGCAGCCCGCACCCGTGACGCGCACTTCCGGGGTGGGGCCGCGCCGCCAACGGCCGCCGGTCCCGGCAACGCCTCCCCGCCGGCGCGCGCATTGGCCGGCCGCGGGGCCCCGTCCAGCACCCGTGGAGAGCCAATCGCTGGCTTCCATTCAGGTCGGGTCCTTGACAGGTGAGAGCGGCCCGACAGCGGGCAGGGGGCGGAGCTCTGGTGAGGGGCAGGGCCGACAGGAGCCCCGCCCCTTGTGAAGCCCCGCCCCCGGCCCGGCCGATATAAAGGTGCCGGCCCACCTCCTGCTCCTTGTCACTCCAGTCTGAGCTTCCTCTAAGCTCTGGTCCTGTGGGGGTGTCCGGTCTTAAGTCGCCATCACGCCCATCATCCTCTCCGTTCAGGCCTACAGCCTGAGAGTCCTGCTTTCTGGCTTTTTGAAAAGGTGATTATTATCGATTTCATTTTATTGGAACATCAGAGGTTTGCTCCTCCAATGCCTGCAGTAGCTGAGGCTGGGCCAGGGCCTTCATGCATGTCTTTCCCAGTCCTGGCTGTTCTGCCGTGGCTACCGCTTCCTTCCCTCTGCTGCTTTTCTGGTTCCATGGACTGGGCTCTTCTGTGGTCAGACCTCGCTGACCACCCCCGCCTGTGGTGTGTGGATACCAGGTGCACCTGTCTCGTGCGGCTCTGTGGTCAGCATTTGTGGCCCCCCCCATCTGGGAGGAAGTGACCTCGAGAAGCGGCTGAGGCACCCACTTCCTGGCAGTGCCAGAGCAGAAACCGAGCCTGATGGCTGAGAAAGAAGTCTCAGCGTCCTGGGCCAGAAACCAAAGAAAAGGAGGATGAGACAGAGAGATACATTTTGTCCTAAGGGAAACGAAATTGCTACCTTTTTCTGAATCTACCCACAGGATAGACGAGCACAGGAGAGAGAGAGAGAGAGAGAGAGAAGGCAAAGGCCGGAAGGACCGAAAACCCCTAGGGCCAATAGGCCGAATCCCTCTAGCAGGGGTTTTATACATAGAGGAGAGTGACCAATCACAGCGCAGCCCAGCCCGCGCCCCACTTCCCCCGTAACGATGTGGTTGGTGTGCACTGACTGACAAACTGGGGGGGGGGTGAACCTATTACACAGGAAGTGTGGCTTCCAGACTCGTGACCCTGAACCAACGTCCTGCCTAGACCATACCCCGAGGACTTTGGCCGTCCTCGACTGCTTCCCAGGCCACAGGCAGGGAGCTGGGTGGGTGGTGGGGCAGCTGGGGGGTGGGTTGGGGGAACGAACTAGGGTTACAGCTCTTGGAGGTGGAGGATTAGCCAGTTGAGCCATCACGCTGAGTCCCTGTGCATCTAGATTTTAACAAGTTTCTCTGCCTTGGACCCCTAGCTCAGAACATTCCAGAGACCTCAAGACGGGCTCTGCTGGCCCTCCCAGTGTGTCAGGAGGTACCCAATCCTCACCCTCTCTGGCCACCTGCTATGCACAAGAAGCTCCTCCCAGGATGATGGAGGGAAAGAATTCCTCTCTCGTTTGCCACCCCTCCTCCCTGCCCCCTTGCCCCAAGGTGGGGGAGTGGCAACACAGAAGGAACCCCGGGTCCAGGCCGGCAGACCGCCTTTGTGCAGTCAGCTGATGGCCACAGTGCGGGACTCTTGTGTCTGGCAGGCTCCAGCTGGCCTGGATCCCTTAGCACAATGACCAATTCACTCAGCCATGGGGCCTGGTGGATCCTCCTGACATGAGCTGAGCCAGTGGCAACAAGTCCCTTGTTATTACCAACTGCAAAGAAAACAACACGGGAGGGCCCAGCCTGGTAGCTGTGTGCCTTGCGCTTGCAGGGATCCCACATGGGCGCCCTCCGGCGGGCCCCGCTTCCCACCCAGCTCCCTGCCTGTGGCCTGGGAAAGCAGTGGAGGACGGCCCAAAGCCTTGGGACCCTGCACCCGCGTGGGAGACCCGGAGACGCTCCTGGCTTCGGAGCTCAGCTCCGGCCATTGTGGCCACTTGGGGAGTGCATCATCAGACAGAAGACCTTCCTCTTTGTCTCCTCCTCTCTGTATATGACTTTTGACAAAAATAAAATAAATCTTACCTAGCACCCTGGGTCTCACCCAGATGCAGCTCATTAGCTGGGTGTGCGAAGGAGCTGCCCCACATGTGGGTGAGGGAAGGGAAGACGCCGCCAGGCAAGCCGGGGCAGGCGAGCTTGCACAGCTCCTTTCTCAGGCTCTGTGGCAAAGCTGGGGGCGTTGATTCCGCCACGGGCCGTTTTCGTGTTGAGTTAAAAGGCAGTGTGGCTCCCAAGGCTCCACAAGTGAATGTTCTGCCCCAAGTGCAAGTATCCCACGGGACTTCACTCTGGTTCAAGTCCCGGCTGCTCCACTTCCCATCCAGCTCCCTGCCTGTGGCTTGGGAAAGCAGTGGAGGATGGCCCAAAGCCTTGGGACCCTGCAGCTACATGGGAGACCTGGAAGAGGCTCCTGGCTCTTGGCTTTGGATCGGCGCAGCTCCAGCCGTTGCAGCTGTTTAGGGAGTGAGTCAGTGGATGGGAGATCTTTCTCTTTGTGTCTCCTTCTCTCTATATATCTGACTTTACAATAAAATAAAATCTTTAACAAAAAAAAAAAAATCACAAGACAAAGGCTTCCTCCTCTGGCAAATGCGTGTGCTAACCCCTTCAGCATCTTCCTTACTCGGTGACCCAAACTCTTTTATTTCTATAGGAAAAATGCACTTGAAACCACAACTCCTTGTATCTTTTCAGCTGTTTTGCCCAGTCAGCCTGGCCGGGGGCCGGAGGCAGCAGCCTATTAGACCACAGCTTGGATGGCCTTTGCCCCGAGACAAAGATGCTCCCTACCTCCCCACCCAGGGCAGGAGTTGCAGAAGCTTCCAGAACGGGGCAGGGATGACTCACCCTGGCACCACCCAGCCATGCCTTATCTACCTGTAAGGGCTGGCCAGACTGCTCACTCCCGGCGGCCGGGTCTGACCTGCAGGAGGGAGCCAGGGGTCGCCCACACCTCCCGGTACTGGACAGAACCCCGAGGCACAGCTACGGGTCAGGAAACCCCCGGCCACTGCACATCATCAAGGCAGGGAAGGAGGCTGCGCTGTGGGTTCAGTCCCCGTGTGCAGGACCAGCATTCCGCAGGATGTGCGACCGCCAACATAAAAGCATGGCCCCATGCATGCACTTGGGTCACTAAACTCTGGGCCTCTAGAGCCACAAGTGGCCACCTCCAGGGGCGGTGGCTGAGCGCCCACGCCCCCAATGACGATGGGGGGACCCCTTTCCTTCTCCCTCACTCCTGTCAGAGTCCCTGGGTCCGCGAGGGCTGGGGAGACCCCCGCAGCTCCCCCGCGCCGCAGTCACCCCAGCTCCGCCATGTGCAGGCTGCCCTCCCCGTCACTCACCGTCCTGCTCCCGCCCCCTCTCCGCTCGGCGGAACCGTCCCCGCGTCCTTTGGTTTCCACAGCAACGACGCGATGGGGCGGGGCCCAGGGGCGCGCGCGGCCCGTCTGATTGGTGGCCGGCCTAGCCCCTCCTTTTTTTTCCAGAGCTCCGTTCGCCAGTAGGGGGCCACGCCCCTTCGTCGATCTGATTGGCTATTCTCGTGAGGCGAGCGGCTCGTCTTCTTTCAGACTGGTTCGACGGACGGGCGTCCCCTCGCGCTGATTGGCTGGTACGGCGTCCGCGGGGCGGGGCCGGGGCGGGGCGGAAGAGAAGCGGCTGGTGACGTTCGCGAACGCGCCGGGTTCCCCGTTGCCGCGTCGCGCGCAGGTAGGCCGCCGCCGCCGCTGTCCGAGGCTGCCATGAAGCACTACGAGGTGAGAGCCGCGCAGCCGAGGCCCCGCGTGTGGCCGCCCCGCTCCCCTCTGCGCTAGGCCGGGCGGGAACGATGGCGGCCGGTGGCCCCGCGCGCACGCGCAGGCGGCGGGACGGTCCTGGGCGTGCAGAGCGCGGGGCTCGATCGGTTTTTATTTTGGGGGTGGGGGGATGCTTAGAGGAGGGGGTGTCTCTCTGGCTGAGCCCTGGTCAAGGTTCCTGGCAGCGAGCCGAATGGCGGAGGGAGCAAGGAGGCAGCGAGGGTGTGGAAACCCTTTGTTATAAGCTCTTGCGCGAAGCCTCGGGCAGGTGCCCAGCGCCCCGGGCGGAGGAAGGGGCTTCTGCAGACGGTCCTGTCTTCTTAGGCCGACCTTTGGATACTCTTCCCTTGCCCCGGGACGTCCCCCAAGAAGCTTGTCCTCGCTGGCTTGGCGCAGGGACGCGGAGGAAGGGAGTGCAGGTGCAAGGGCTGGCTGCCGCCAGAGTCGCAAAGCTCATCTTGGCATCTGGGCTTGCTTGCTGCAAGAAACTGGGAGGTCATCTCGGTCCACCCATGCGGGTCACTGCAGGGTCACTGAGCTCCAGTCCTGACCTGGTGGTGGTGATGGTGGTGGTGGGGGAGCTCTTTTCGTTTCTACCACTGCACAGAATCCACCCCGGGGCCAGGACCTGAAGTCGCGTCGTTGGCACCCGTCATTCCTGGTTATTAAACCTTCGTAATTACGGGCCAGCTTAGCAAGCGCTGCCTCGTGCTGCTGGGATCCTGGTCCTGCCATTTTCAGCCCTGGGAGCGACCGGAAATGGTCCTTCTTGCTGTTTTTGTAGACAAAGATCCAAAGACCCAGATAGTATGGGATAACCTGTCCAGTCCCCATACCCCGCCACTCCCTCTGATGGGACTTAATGAGCTCCGTTGCCAAGCCAGGCTGCAAGATCGAAGAGCTTCTTTGCTCTGCCTCACCCCCCAAGTCCCCACCACGTGTTAAGACGATATAAAATGTGTGGGGAGTGCAGGGGTGGTGGGGGGCAGCCTTTCCAGCTTCACAGGCATGGTCGTGTGGTGCAGCTGGGAGCGCCCCTCGTGCTTCTCCACAACCCTTGTCACACTGGGACCCCGTGCCTGTAAAACACGGGGTGTCCCCGCTGCCCCCTGCCCCCGGCATCCATGAACTGCGCTCTGTGGAAGTGGGGGTGCGGCAGGAGAGGTTTCTGGGACTCTGGGTTGGGATGGAAGACCTGTCTCCACTGGCTCTCGCTCCTTCCTCTTCCGTAACTTCCTCAGCAGCCCGCGAGACCTTTCACCTGGAAACGGCCATTCCTCCTCTTTGTTTTGTTGGGACCCGGTCCTAAGCATCAGGAGCCCGAGGCAGGAGTTCCTCACGCCCTATTTCGCTTGCAAGACGTCCCCCAAGAAGCTTGTCGTCGCTCGCTTGGCGTGTTCTTTTCCCTTCTAGAAGCCTCGGTGGACGGTGGGGGTGGGGAGACACACTTGGCGAAGATGCGTCACGTTCCTTTTTGCCTATTGGATGTCAGCTTCGCACCTGTAGGGAGCTGGAGCTGGGCTGGGGCCTGCAGAGGAGGCGGGGCCTGTGGGGAGGCGGGGCCTGTTGGGAGGTGTGGCCAAGACAGAGAAGGCGGGGCCTGTGGGTGAGGAGGCGGGGCATGTGTGGAGGCTGGGCCAAGGCAGAGAAGGCGGCTCCAAGGCTGAGGAGGCGGGTCCAAGTTACAGGAGGCGGGTCCAAGGTGGAGAAGACGGGTCCAAGGTGGTGCTCCAGGCAGGGGTGTGAGCCGGCGAGCCCCAGCACCTGCGCTTGCTGTGGGTCCTGTTCCGTCTTAGCCGAGGTCCAGCCTCCGCTGGTGTGAGGCCCTGGTGGGGGTCTGCAGGCAGCTGTGGTGCCTGCTGCCTGGGCCTCCGAGCTCGGGGCCTGTCCAGGATCTGAGCTGGGCCCAGTCAGGGTGCCTGGGGGAAGAGGAGCTGGCCTGAAGGCTCCTTGGCCACTGCGCTGTCCAGTGCGGGGTCTAGGTGGGGAGACCCTGCTGACGTCACAGCTCACCCAGCGCACCTGCCCTGTCACCTGGGGCGACCTCTGTGGGTGTGCTGCTGCTGGGGGGGGGTGCACTTTCTTCTTAATTTCACCTTCGGGGGCGCTCTCTGCCTGTAGGAGCCCAGTTCACAGAGGTTGGCACAGGCTTGTTGTCTGTGGGCACGGTAGGGCTCCCTGTCCCCAGTACGGGGTGGGGCGGGATGCTGGCTGCAGGTCCCTGTCCTCACTGGAGCAGGGGCTGCCCGGGCTCGGCGCCATCTCCTACGGCCTGCCAGTGGGAGCTGGGGCTGGAGCCCAGCTGGCTGCCCACCTGCCCGTGGGAATGAGGTCTGAATGGGGTGGCTGCGGCGACAGGTGGCCCCGGGGCGCAGGCTCCTCCCTGAGGGACCCTGGGAAGAGGGGGCGGGTGTTACGGGTGGCTCTGAATGACATTTAGGTGACAGCTTTTGGCCCAGGCCACACCCCTCCCCGTCACAGGGCAGGTTTTAGTTCTCTGCGTAGGGCTTTGCACCTGTGGCCGTGTGTGTGTGTGTGTGTTGTGTTGTGATGTGATGTGATGCTGTGTTGTGTGTGTGGTATGTGGGGGGCAGGCCCTGGCACCTGGCAGGTCACGGAGTCCCCTTGCTGAGGGGGTCACCTGCTCACTGTGTGACACTTGCAGGCCCCGCTGGCTCCCACACTGAGCCTTGCCTTGGGGCGTCTGCGGGCCGAGGGGACTCTGCCCCTTTTGGGTCTGGGCTGTTTTCCCCTTAGTTCCTCACAGGCGCCCACCCACGCATGCCCACAGTGGAGGATCTTTGGGGCGCGAGGCAGGGGGTGGTGATGCTAAGTCACGGCCAGTGGTTCCATGCCCCCCCATCCCACTGGCTCCTCGAAGACAGCAAGTGTGGCAGTGTCACCATCCCGCCGTTCCCTGCCCTCCGCAGCCCACACTGTCCAGGCCCACCCCTCCTCCAGTTCCCGAGGCGAGCCGGCAGAGCCAGCAGCAGGCAGAGCCTTCAGGGGCCGGTAGCGGCTCGCGGGCGACAGAGGTCACCCTGGCCTCCCGCACCACAGTGCCTGGCAGCGTCCCGGCTGCTCTGCCGCCCACCCAGCTCCCTGCTGAGCTGCGCCTGGCAAGGCTCAAGGGCCCGGGCCTCTGCCACCCACAGGGAGGCCCGAACGGAGCTCTGGCCTCGGTCTGGCCCCGGCCTGGCTGTGTGGGCATCTGGGGAGTGAAGCACGCTTGCAAGGTCTCTCTCCATCTGTCTCTCCCCTAGCCCCCTCTCTGGCATCCACCCTGTCCCAGCCCCTGACCTCTCCAGCCCTGCTGTGGCACAGGGCTGCCTGCAGGCCTCTGTGTCCCCCCTCCCCCAGGACGCCTCAGGGTGGCCTGCTGGGCCTGGTGCCCAGCCTGCCTTCCTTCCTGGCACTCGGCCCAGTGAGGCTCTCTGTGGCCCCAGGTTACGCAATGGCTGGGCCCAGACTGAGGGAGGTGGCATGGCCTCGCCCTGCTGGGACACTTGAACGGGCATGCTGTGTCCCACATGGGGCTCGGGGCAGGAGGGGCGTGGGGCTGGGACTGGCAGCAGGCCCTCAGGTGGAATGGGGGTCCCCCATATAGTGCCCCGAACCCCCTGGCCGGATCTGCAGTCCTTAGCTTTCAGTTTTTCTTCCTGGGAACTTGATGAAACCCCTTGTCCTCATCTCGGAGATGAGAACGGATTGGGTGGGGTGAGGGGGGAGGGGTAGCAGCCTGCGGCATGACTGGTGTGAACAGCTGTGGTGGGGAACCCTGAGGCATGTCAGCCTGACACCCCAACAGCAGCTTGCCTCACATGATAGGATGACCATAACCTGTGTTGCTTCAAGACCCCGGGCAGGAGGGAGTGGAATCCCATTGCCAGGCCGAGACAGGTGAGAGCTGGGCCGGCTTGCCGTGCCAGTCACACGGAGGCCCGGATGGAGCCCGCGGCTCCTGGCCCTCGCCCGGGCCGGCCCTGGCCTTTGCCTCTGAGGAGTGACCCAGCGGATGCAAGGTCTCTCTCTCTCTGTAGCTTTGCCTTTCAAAGAAATAGCTCCTATAAAAAGAGCTTTGTTTATAGCTTTGTGCCCACAGGGGCATCAAAATTGCTCCAGTGTAAGGCTCTACAGACAGACAGACTAGAGCCTTGTCCAAGTTGATGTGAAATTTACAGGGGGCTAGGAGTGACATCAGCCACACCACCGGGGCCCAGGGAAGGCCTGGGTGTTAGCTTGCCCGTGTCGGGGGGCTCACCCACAGGAGGCTGTGCCCAGGTGTGTCACGACATCGCCGTGTTAGGTGCGTAAGGAACCCGGGGCACGTTCCTTCGCAGAATCCCTGGAAGGTGTTTAGACGCCTGGAACTCGAGCTTGAGTGTTAGGGTCGTCTTTGTTGGAAAGGCGGGGAGCCAGAGCCAGAACGAGTGAGAGCGAGCGAGAAAGCGCGAGAATGTGAGCATACTGCCACCTTCAGCTTCACTCCCCGATGCCCACAATGGGGCAGGAGGCCAGGCCTCCCACGCAGCTGGCAGAGGCCCAAGCCATCACCTGCCACCTCCTTCCAAGGCTCCCGAGTGGGGAGCTGGAGTCTGGGGTGGAGCCAGGACTGGGACCCAGACCTGCCACGCGGCGTCCTGGGCAGGACTGGGGTGCAGGCGTCCTGGCCTGCGTCTTAAGCGCCACACCTGCCCCCTGCTTGTCTTAATTCTGCTTCCCACACAACATCTTGACCGGCAGGCGGGCAGGGCTGGCCAGGAGCTGGGTCCTTCTTGGGGCTTGGGGTGCATGTATCTGACACATGGTCCAAGTTGGACCTCCAAGCCAGCGTCCCCCCCATGTCCCAGCAGTCACAGCCCTCCTGAGGCCGAGACCCTGAGCTGTTGGCTGCCCGGGACGCCGTGGGAAAGACACTGCAACTCCATCGGTGTTGGGGCCAGCGAGAGCTTGGGAGACCG